ACTGATCATCCATTAGATTTTCACAACTAAAATCTAGATGGCGTTAGGTTCGAATTGTCCACGTTACGTTAAATAGACTTGTTTGTCGTCACTGTATTAATATCCAATGATTCAATTTAGAAACTGTGTCTAGCTAACTGCCGTAAGATCAAATATCTGTTACTAGCTAAGACATAAATCAAAGATCTGGGACTAGTTCGCATCTTGACACCGTTTTGACATGCGATGTTAATAGATGAGAACAGGTCCGCTATTATCGGATGCACGTTCGAATTTTTTTTATTTTCTTTTTAAAAAAACTTGAGCAAAAAAAAAATCGTGTGTGTAACTTGTAATTCCGTTTCATCTTATACAAATAATTTTACTCGATGTCAAATATTTGTGCACTCTTTGTATAATTATACGCACATCTATTGTTGGAACTTTCAATGTTTATAATTAATTAAGTAATTGGGCAAGAAAGGATATTTTAAATTTGACCTACATAGGTCGCCTACAGAGCACAGTGAATTAATATGAAAAATGTGTGTGCTTGGAGGACGGTCTTTACAAACCTTTCTCCCTGCGTAAATTCGGTGAAAATATCCGAGCCCACGTCTGTCACACTGACAGCTATAACTTTCATCAGAAAACTCTCGGCTGTCAGGTTTTCTATTAGAAATTCAAATTATGGGAAAACACAGGCCCATTTATACCACTGACTTAATAAACAGACACAAACAATGGTGGTTTAATTAAGGGGTGTTGGGAGGGGTTTTGGGAGGGTGTTGGGAGGGGTGTTGGGAGGAGGAGGGCCTTCTTTGTTTCTTAGTAAAGTGATCGTCCTTCCGTATCAATTGCTTCCCAGAAGAAAAAAATACATTTTTTTGTTTAGTTTGTTTTCAGTTGGAAATAAATTATCTAAATAGCATGGCTTGAGAAAATGCAATGTGGCAGGTAAAACACAGGTATTTGTGCTTTTGTTTGCGTTACGTTTGCGTTTGAGTTTGCATTTGTGATTCTGTTAACGTTTGTGTTTGCGTTTGTGTTTGCGTTACGTTTGCATTTTTATTTGCGTTTTTGATTGCGTTTGCGTTTGGGTTTGTGTTTCTGCTTGCGTTACTTTTGTGATTAAGTTTTTGGTTGTGTTTGTGTTTGCGTTTATGTTTGCGTTTAGGTATGTGTTTTGCATTTTTGTTTGCGTTTATTTTTGCGTTTGTGATAAGTTTGCGTTTGTGTTTTAGTTTTGATTGTGGTAAGCTGTAGTTAGACTTAGGTTTAGGGTTTTTGTGTTACTTTTCTCAAACGTCCATAAAACGTCGAGATTTGAGAAAATCACGCTCTCGATTTTTTCCACGATTACAATAGTTGCTCTATAGTTCGTATATGAGAAAGTAATAAACCGGGAGTGATCTCCCCTAAACTTTCTCGAATATTCTTATGTAAAATAACAGGGGATGGGAACTCGGGCTATAGACATGATTTTTAATCCATTTTAAATACTTAAAGTTTAAAAAATAGAATAAAATCTCGTAGACAAATTAATTGCACACCAAGAGAACGCCAAATAAAAAAAGTGCATAATAGTGCGCAATATTATTAGTACTTTTAAAATTTACATTAGTTTTTTGAGAAATCGGAAGTAGCGTAAATTACTACTTCCGGTCAACGGAAATTACTCAAAATTTAACAGAAGGTAGAGAATTAGATCTTTTACTTACATGTGAAATTTCATTTATCTATCTGAAATAGTACTCAAGTTATAGGCTTTTGAAAAATTCAAAGTAGGAAAAGTACCACTTCCGGTTATCGGAAATCGCTCAAAAGTTGATACGGATCTACGATTTGATAAAATACTTATATATGAAATTTCATCAACCTAGCTGTAACGGTACTCAAGTTATCGTGTTTACACACGGACACACACACAGACAGACAGACAGACAGACAGACACACAGACATACGGACAAGATTGCAAAATTATGTTTTTCCGTATCAGTGAGGTGTAAAACGTCGAGATTCGTAAAAATCTCGATTTTTTTTTTTGCACGATTACAAGACTTTCTCTATACTTCGTATATACGAGAAATTAAAAATGACTAGCTAGTGTTAGGCAATAAACGATATCGCTAAAACCTAAAATGTATAGAACAATGTAAAGACGTGCTGGTCCGGCTTTCTCCGCCGTGTGAAAACACTTTTCTAAAAGGTAAAAACAATATTTCGGACGAGTCTGATTTGAACAACAGATCGGATAATAACGACTAAAAGCAGAACCTAAACACCATTTACAAGCAGCAATGACATACTGTGGTTTATTTTAAGAGTGTAGAAAATGATGGTGTAGGGCCTAAGTTCGTTGACAGTGGTGGGCTAGAGGCCGAACGGGAGATCACCGAAGTATAAGAGTTCCCATATTTTCATTTATAAACAGTGATAAAAATAATAGTCCTGGGGATATTATTTTCTACAATCTAAATGATTTGTTTTTGCTAAGTTTACCAACAGAAAAATCTGACTTGTGTCCCATGAAAATGTACTATTCTTCTTAAGTCGGACACAAACACACAAGCTCCACAAATTACAGATGTCATCACTTCATGTCAAAGTTTATTTAAAGTGAGCGCTCCCTGATAAAATGTGTTCCGCTACCCGGAAATAAATGTTATTTGATTGATCTCACAAACCACAACAAGTGAGTAAATCACATCAGACTAGCCTATTTTTAGATCTGTATTTGTTACGTGGCCTGATCACACAAACAAATCCTAAACACAAACATAATACATAGGTTACATTCGTGACCTATCTATATACAGGGTCTACATAGGTTACATTCGTGACCTATCTATATACAGGGTCTACATAGGTTACATTCGTGACATATCTATATACAGGGTCTACATAGGTTACATTCGTGACCTATCTATATACAGGGTCTTCATAGGTTACATTCGTGACCTATCTATATACAGGGTCTACATAAGTTACATTCGTGACCTATCTACAGGGTCTACATAGGTTACATTCGTGACATATCTATATACAGGGTCTTCCAATGGATATAGGCTAGCAGCACTGTTACTCTGTATGAAGCGAATTTTCAACATTTGAACTTAATTTTCAAAAAAGGCTTGGTTATATATTACCGTTTTTCTTAAATAAATCACAAAAGATAGGTTATTACATAACTTTTGAAAGGCTATTGTAAATGCAATAAAGACCGATTCAATTTAACTTTCTTCCCTTCTTTTACTGTAGGGGTTTGTTTTAAATGATTATAGCTATTGATAATTTAATATCTACTTGGTCGTGTCATTGGTATCACAAGTACTTTGATCCGACATCGCAGGGTAGGCCTCCACTCTTTTGTCAATTTGAACTTCAACCTGATTTCTGCGTCATGTTTGTAATCGGCAAAGTTGACCAAACAAAACTTACGAATTAATGTCGCCGAGCGATTTGTCAGCTACTTACCGCCTATTACTTTCTTGCATACGAAGTATAGAGGAAGTATTGTAGTCGTGCAGAAAGATAATAGAGACACCTCCCTGAGTCGAAAAAACATAGTTTTGCAATTTGTCCGTATGTCTGTGTGTGTCTGTGGACACAATGCCGTGAGTACCGTTACAGCTAGGTTGATAAAATGTCATACATAAGTATTATATCAATTTTGTGGTTCTGTATAAACTTTTCAGCTCTTCTTCTTCTTCTTCGTTCTTAATTTTAAGAAAAATTAACTTTTCAGCGATTTCCGGTTACCGGAAGTGGAACTTATTCTACTTTCACTTTTTCAGACAAATGAAATTTCACATGTTAGTAAAAGATCTAATTCTCTACCAAATTTTGAGTAATTTCTGTTGACCTGAAGGGGTAATTTACACTATTTCTGATTTCTCAAAAAACGCATGTGAATTTCTAAAGTCCTAATTATAAAGTCCTCGATTATACACATATTGTTTGGCCTTCTATGGGTGCGCAATTATTTTTTTCTACGAGATTCTGTTCTATTTTAAAAAGTGTAAGTAATTAAAAATGGATTAACAATATTGTCTTTATCCCGAGTTGCCATCCCCCGTAGTGTTATATAAGAATATTCGAGAAAGTTTAGGGGAGATCACTCCCGGTTTATTAAAAATTTTGATCGATGCCACTATTTTTTTGTCGGAGTTTATAATCCAGAATAATTTCAAAGTGTTACCGCGATCGGTCAGGTTAGCGAAATGATGGTGGTACGGATCGCTAACCTTTACCCTACATAACATATTCGACCCCCCACCCCCCAAGATAAAAAGATTAAACTTAAACCTTACGACTGAAATATTTATCTTCTTATTTTATTTGAAGTTCACAGCTTCAATCTTGTGATGTTGGAATCGACTCAATACATTGCAACACAGCATCCAAGCATATTGTTTCATGTTCGCCACATGTCGTATGACACCCCCACCAAGTCACCTGACACCCCCACCAAGTCACCTGACACCCCCACCAAGTCACCTGACACCCCCACCAAGTCACCTGACACCCCCACCAAGTCACCTGACACCCCCACCAAGTCACCTGACACCCCCACCAAGTCACCTGACACCCCCACCAAGTCACCTGACACCCCCACCAAGTCACCTGACACCCCCACCAAGTCACCTGACACCCCCACCAAGTCACCTGACACCCCCACCAAGTCACCTGACACCCCCACCAAGTCACCTGACACCCCCACCAAGTCACCTGACACCCCCACCAAGTCACCTGACACCCCCACCAAGTCACCTGACACCCCCACCAAGTCACCTGACACCCCCACTAAGTCACCTGACACCCCCACCAAGTCACCTGACACCCCCACCAAGTCACCTGACACCCCCACCAAGTCACCTGACACCCCCACCAAGTCACCTGACACCCCCACCAAGTCACCTGACACCCCCACCAAGTCACCTGACACCCCCACCAAGTCACCTGACACCCCCACCAAGTCACCTGACACCCCCACCAAGTCATCTGACACCCCCACCAAGTCATCTGACACCCCCACCAAGTCACCTGACACCCCCACCAAGTCACCTGACACCCGCAACATGACGTGTACTGGACACACTGGCTCCGTCCGCCATCTTGCTCTGCTCATTATGCTGCTGGCCGCCTGCCGGCCGCTGGATGCCGTCTCGGACAACCGTAGCGTCAAAGCCTCCAGGAGCAGACTAGCCTGTGACCTGAGTTCCGGCACCCCGCGACCCCAGGAGTGTCATTGTTCAAACGATGAGGTCACGTGTAGCGGTCTGCCCACCCCTCTCCTGAGGGTACCGTCTAACCTCGGCAGCTGGGTACGAACCCTGTAAGTTTATTTTGTTATCTCTCACACACAAAAAGAGAAACATGGGAGAACAGCTATGGGTCTGTTTGACAGGGAAGAATGTATGATTATAATGTGTCTCATTTTTGTCTACATATTATCCATGCTGCCTATAATATTTATAATATTATTCTCCTTTGATCTCAAATTTACATAAGCATGGCAAGATAAACTGACGCTGTAAATTACATGTCTGAGGTAATTAAGAGAAAAAATGGATCTCTTACATATTTAAGCGACCAAAGCTTTTATTTTAGAAAGCAAGTTTGTTTTATTTTCTAATATTTAGCGTATTTGAAAGCTTGTTGTTTTTATTAATAAACTGTTTTTTAAATTTTAAAAAATATATGGCAAACGATACATTTATAGTTACATTTTAAAAAATTAAAGCCGTTTGGGAACTATCGATTACATTTATTTATATAAGCCGTTTGGGAACTATCGATTACATTTATTTATATAAGCCGTTCGGGAACTATCGATTACATTTATTTATATAAGCCGTTCGGGAACTATCGATTACATTTATTTATATAAGCCGTTCGGGAACTATCGATTAGATTTATTTATATATTTTGTGTTGAAAAGCCATTAGAATTATTTCAGTAATTCAAAAACGTTAAAAAAACACCCTCAACCCCTCCGTGTAGTCAAACGGAATGGCCAGGGAGAGTAAAACAACGAAAGTCAGAACAATTGTTTTCCATGATAAAATACACAATACTGGTCCATGATGTATAGCGAAGTAGCTCATTTATATTAGATAATATAACATTTATATTAGATAATATAACATTTATATTAGATAATATAACATCCCCTATCACCACAGTACCCTGTCTCCACTAACCCAAATTAAAAATAAAAGTGTTCGCTAAATTACTACTATATCACTAGTAATGATTTGTTTGAATATTATCTAGCCTTAGTAAAACCGGTTATTTTGCACTTATTCTAAACTGTTATAAAATATTCAATTTTGGTTGAAAAATAAAATTTGCTTTCTGGCAACAACCATTCGTAACCAGTGGAACCAGCTTTTCAAGCCTAATACGTTTTATTCGCTCCGGAACTGTGGGCGTTATTCGTCAACTCGCTGCTTTCATGGACATGTATTCCAAGTTTTATCACACTTCACATCTTTTCATCGGATACGTCCACAGAGCCTATCGAACCCTTCATTTCTCACACTGACTCAATCGATGCCACTGATTTTCAGAGACCTATCCAGCAACAAGCTCACATTTATTGATGCCAATAATTTTGTGGCCATGGAATCGCTCCAAAAATTGTAAGTAAAATAGAAATGGTTGATAACGTTTTCAGACATTCAATATCAACTATAACTTAGACATCTAAATGACAACTGTATCTTTCACAGATATGTAAATAACATCTTCCATAGTTATCTAAATGTAACTATATCTTACACAGACATTTAAATGACATCTAAATGACAACTATATCTTCCACATATAACTAAATGACTACTATATCTTCCACAGATATCTAAATGACAACTATATTTTCCATAGATATCTAAATGACAACTATATATTCCAAAGACATATAAATGACATCTAAATGACAACTGTATCTTTCACAGATATGTAAATAACATCTTCCATAGTTATCTAAATGTAACTATATCTTACACAGACATTTAAATGACATCTAAATGACAACTATATCTTCCACATATAACTAAATGACTACTATATCTTCCACAGATATCTAAATGACAACTATATTTTCCATAGATATCTAAATGACAACCATATCTTCCACAGACATATAAATGACATCTAAATAACAACTATATATTCCAAAGACATATAAATGAAATGTAAATGACAACTATATCTTCCAAAGACATAGAAATGACATTTAATGACAACTATATCTACTACAGATATTTAAATGACAACTATATCTTCCACAGATATCTAAATGACAATCACATTTTCCAGATTCACCCCGCAGCGTTCAGAAACCTTTACCGGCTGCAGGAGTTGTAAGTTTGAATCACACAGCTCTCCAGCTCAATCACACAAGTTCTCGAACTAAATCACACAATCTCTAAGACAACTCAATCACACAAGTTCTCTAACTAAATCACACAATCTCTAAGACAACTCAATCACACAAGTTCTCTAACTAAATCACACAATCTCTAAGACAACTCAATCAAACAGCAAACTAAAACAATCAATCATGCATCTCACTAACAGCTCACTCACACAACTTTCTGACAGCACACTCACACATCTCACTAACAGCTCACTCACACAACTTTCTGACAGCACACTCACACATCTCACTAACAGCTCACTCACACAACTTTCTGACAGCACACTCACACATCTCACTAACAGCTCACTCACACAACTTTCTGACAGCACACTCACACAACTCACTAACAGCACACTCACACATCTCACTAACAGCTCACTCACACAACTTTCTGACAGCTCACTCACACATCTCACTAACAGCTCACTCACACAACTTTCTGACAGCACAATGTATTTTACAAACTCTGTAAATCTTGGTGAGTGGCTGGGGTGGTAAGGTTAGGGTTAGAGTTAGGTTTGGTGTAGGTTTAGGTTTAGGATTAGGGTTGGCATTAGAGTTAGGGTTGAGTTTAGGTTTAGGGTTGGTATTAGAGTTAGGATTAGGGTTGGGGTTCGGTTAGTGTTGGAATTATAGTTAATGTTATATTTGGTGATAGGCTTAGGTTTAGCGTTAGTGGTTTCAGTTTTGACGCGTTTCCTAATCAGGATTTGATTCAAACTCTCCACATCCGTTAATTTGCGATGAAAATAATATCTTCCTCTAAAATGGAATACACATTCCAAGATATTTATTTTTAGAATGTGGGTGGAGCCAGTTACTGGCTTGTGTTTACAGATCTTTTGACTCCTGGCTCGCAGAATATGGTCAAATATTCATTATGTATCACTAAAGTTAACTTTATTCATACCAAGTACACTTATTGTTAACTAATGTTAACTTGATTTATACCAAGTACAATATATTGTTAACTAATGTTAACTTGATTTATACCAAGTACAATATATTGTTTACTAATGTTAACTTGATTTATACCAAGTACAATATATTGTTTACTAATGTTAACTTGATTCATACCAAGTACACTTATTGTTTACTAATATTAACTTGATTTATACCAAGTACACCTATTGTTTACTAATATTAACTTGATTTATACCAAGTACACTTATTGTTTACTAATATTAACTTGATTTATACCAAGTACACAATATTGTTTACTAATGGATCGTCTCCAGAAATTTAACTGGAAATCTGCTGATGCGTATGGGACTCAACAATTTTAACATTCAACATTTGTCATCCCTGAAGATTGTGTAAGTCGTGTAATAGAACAAGATTGTGTAAGTTGTGTAATTGTAATTGTTGTGTAATTGAGTAAGTTGTGTAATCGTGTAAGTTGTGTAATTTGTGTAATTGTGTAAGACGTGTAATTGTGTAAGTTGTTTAATAGTGTAAGTTGTGTAAGCAGTGTAATTGTTTAAGTTGTATAATTGTTTAATTGTGTAAGTTGTGTAAGCAGTGTAATTGTTTAAGTTGTATAATTGTGTAAGTTGTGTGATTGTGTAAGTTGTGTAATTATGTAAGTTGTGTAATTGTGTAAGTTGTATACGTTGTGCACTTAGTTGTGTAATAGAACTATATGGCCAAGTCCTTATATAAGGAAGACATAGACGAAAACTTGACATGTCATGCATAAAATGACAAGAGCCTCATGAAAAGGCATATGACATGACCAACATGACATGAATGTCAATAATGTTTACAATACTTTTTCAGAGATTTGAGCAACAACCAAATCAGTTTCATCAACAAGTTCACATTTCTTACAGCTGTCTCCACTTTTCATCTAGATGTGTAAGTCAATTTTTTTTTCCCCAACAGCCTGTTATCATTTCTAAACAAGGGACTATGTGCACTGTATACTTACAGCTTTTATTTATATCCAATTTGTTTATAGAATCTTTAGAAATCTGTAGAATCTAACGGTTTAGCATATCGCTTTCAATGGGACTAAACACAATCAAGAGGATTTCTAAAATACTGCGATTTTTTTTCCAGAGATTTCCGGAACAATCCAGTTGAGTGCAACTGTGACGTGCTGGCCATAAGGAACTGGCGGTCCAACATGTCTGCCAGGTTCAAGGTCAGCCTTAGGAATCTGCTGTGTGCAAACGATGAGCAGCACAGGTCATATGACCAAGTGGCAAGGCGCGTGTTCGGGTCGTGTACAGGTCAGTGTCATGTCAGTGTCGTCATGTCAGTGTCATGTCAGTGTCATGTCAGTGTCGTCGTGTCAGTGTTATGTCAGTGTCGTCATGTCAGTGTCATGTCAGTGTCGTCATGTCAGTGTCATATCAGTGTCATATCAGTGTCATGTCAGTGTCATGTCAGTGTCATGTCAGTGTCATGTCAGCGTCATGTCAGTGTCATGGCAGTGTCATGGCAGTGTCATGGCAGTGTCATGGCAGTGTCATGGCAGTGTCATGGCAGTGTCATGTCATGTCAGTGTCATGGCAGTGTCATGGCAGTGTCATGGCAGTGTCATGTCATGTCAGTGTCATGGCAGTGTCATGGCAGTGTCATGACAGTGTCATGTCAGTGTGATGTCAGTGTCATGGCAGTGTCATGGCAGTGTCATGTCATGTTAGTGTCATGGCAGTGTCATGTCATGTTAGTGTCATGGCAGTGTCATGGCAGAGTCATGTCATGTCAGTGTCATGGCAGTGTCATGGCAGTGTCATGACAGTGTCATGGCAGTGTCATGTCACGTCAGTGTCATGGCAGTGTCATGTCATGACATTGTCATGGCAGTGTCATTGCAGTGTCATGGCAGTGTCATGGCAGTGTCATGTCAAGTCAGTGTCGTGTCAGTGTCGTCATGTCAGTGTCATGTCAGTGTCGTCAAGTCTGTCTCGTTATGTCAGTCTTGTCATGTCAGTGTCGTGTCAGTGTCATGTCAGTCTCGTCATGTCAGTGTCGTGTCAGTGTCATGTCAGTGTCGTCATGTCAGTGTCGTCATGTCAGTGTCGTCATGTCAGTGTCATGTCAGTGTCATGTCAGTCTCGTCATGTCAGTGTCGTGTCAGTGTCATGTCAGTGTCGTCATGTCAGTGTCGTCATGTCAGTGTCGTCATGTCAGTGTCATGTCAGTGTCATGTCGGTGTCATGTCAGTGTCATGTCAGTGCCATGTCAGTGTCATGTCAGTGTCGTCATGTCAGTGTCGTCATGTCAGTGTCGTCATGTCAGTGTCATGTCAGTGCCATGTCAGTGTCATGTCAGTGTCATGTAAGTGTCGTCATGTCAGTGTCATGTCAGTGTCATGTCAGTGTCATGTCAGTGTCGTCATGTCAGTGTAGTCATGTCAGTGTCGTCATGTTAGTGTCATGTCAGTGTCATGTCTGTGTCGTCGTGTCATTGTCATATGCATGCTTATTAAACTTCTACATTTGCTTGCTTAATTAACTTCTACATTTGCGAACTAATTAAACTATATTTGCATGGTGATTTAACGACTACATTTGCATGCTAATTAAATATCTGCACTAAACTCAGAACTTCTGATATTAACTCATTAAATTAACTAATTAAATGATAGCTAACAGTCATGTCTTGGGCACACTAGCAGGCTAGTCAGGTAGCACACAAGCAGGCTCCATGTCTGTCTGAAAGTTCCATGTGTCGCTGTCACATGATACACTAGGCTGATAGAATTTTCTTCAGTAGCAGAACTAGAAAAAATAAGGCCCCCACGCAAAGTAAAAATTTAGCCGTCGGTACCCATTACACTTGAATTATAGGCCTATATATCTTTAATATTTAAACATGTTTGAGAAAAATATTTTATAAAATAGTTATTGGTCAAAACGCAATTTGCTCTACTACACGTTGTACAATATTAGTGACAAAACAAATAAATAACCAAATAGCTAAAAATCCCACACATTTAAAATAACATAGACTAACAATACCTATTAGAAAAACCAATTCCCAAAACCCGGCTGTTCAACAGTATCTATATATATAATTCTCTTCTGGGAGCCGCTAGAAAACAAGCTGCAAACGCGCCTAGAAAACAAGCTGTAAACGCGATCCCTACCTCCCCACCCCTACATGATCTTAGTGAGCTGTGTTCACTCTAAATGTTTACAAGCAGAGCCAACGATTTTAAACGTAAGGGGGGAAGGAAGGGGGGGGGGGGGGTTATGGTCCTTAACGAGCTACTTATAGTATTTTTTTAAAGAAATATTTTCAGTGGCAGCGTTGGTACTGTCGAATTCACAAATTATGAATTACTGAGAAAAGTAGAAAATAAAGCAACTAAATAGCGGCGTATGTTATGCCGCGGGCCGGCTCGTTCATTTTATTTTAAAAATTTGTATTACTTATGGCCGAGAAAATTGTATACATTTCATAGCGTACGTCTCGATAATCTTGATCTTAATCAAATTTGAATGAAATAATTCATTCTTTGATATTCTAAAATTGGAAGATGTCGTCATTAGTTTTGTGTTCTTTCCGTTGTTTAAACAAGCGGCATGTGACGTCATTGATTATTGCGTTCTAGTCAAACTATAAACACGTTTTCTCTTGCATAGTAAAAATGTTTTTCTACATTCGAATATTGTGTTATTTTTATTTAATTTTTCTTAAAATAAAATTTAGATTATACATTTAAAACATCCAACTTATTACTTTAAAAAAAAAAGTCCGTATCTTTAAATTCTCCATATATCGCTGAACATACTGATCGTATATCCTCAAAAATGTTGCGGACAGAGAGAGAGAGAGAGAGAGAGAGAGAGAGAGAGAGAGAGAGAGAAGTGCGCACATGTGCTTTTATATATTAGGATATATATATATATATATATATATATATATATATATATATATATATATATATATATATATATATATATATATATATATATATATATACTAGCTGCATACCCGTGCTCCGCCACGGTAAATCTATTTTAAATGCACCAACTTAGGAACAGAACAAAACTTAACACAAACAAAAACACAAACTCAACTCAACACAAACACAAACACAAAAGAAAACACAAACGAAAACACAAACACAAAAGAAAAAACTCACGCAAATAAAAACACAAATGAAAACACAAACACAACGCAAACATAAATGCAAAAAAAAACACAAACGAAAACACAAACACAACATTTATAACTTAAGCACAACTTAAATGCAAACATAAACGCATAGTGCTCACAGTGTAGCCCGTGGCGCGCTACGCACTCTGGCGGACGCGCCGGATTCAATTAGGTGAACGAATATTTAAAAAACCCTGCTTGTCCGTAAATCTAAAGATAGTAACAATAATTAGTAAACAGTTCGTTCAGTGTATAAAATAAATAAAAGATTGCCTTTTAGCAATCCATGCTAATTATAATATTCTAATAATAATGTCCTCTTAAACATCCGCATAATTTGCATTCACATTTTGCTAATTATATTATTTCAACAATAATTCCTTCTTCGAGGTCTGCAGATTTTGCATTCACATTTATTTTATTAGCGTGAGTTGAATTTATTTTTTAAATTACCTCCCTTGGAAAATTACAAAACAGTTTAATTCATTAGTTTTTCGACCCTATTATTATCAAAATGTATCCACTTTTTCTAGGAATCTAACCAAAAATAATGTTTGACATTGATCCGTTTGATATGTATTAGCAATGTGCGTGTAGGCTATTTAATATTTTCTTTACGTTATGCAAAAGAGTAAAAACAGTGGCAAATTTAAAATAAATTTAAGTCGTTATATAAACAAACCCATCTCTATTACTTATAATAAGACGCCTCGATGCAAGTAAAAAGCACGACATGTGATGAGTTTACTATTTTTGTTCCAAAATCTATAGTGATGACGGTCTGACACACTACCAGCCCGCTAATATTATAGATAGCCTATACATGGGTGACTGTCTCCCTATATTTTAAACTACACCATTTCCTAATTTATTTTGTACTTTTAACCTTTTTCATTGCTAAGGATATCCATCGTAAATGGGTTCAAACTCATTTTTGGCCTAAAAAACAATAGAGTTTCAAAAATGTCTTTGTCTCATTTATGCCCGACAAATATTGTGAAAAGTGTAACTTTGTATATGGCAAGTCTGTCAAAAGAATATGAACCACGGAATCTTGATATGAATAACGGTTTCCCGTCTTTGTTCATTCTTATGTTTTGTTCGCTTTTTTTGCATTTTTATTTTTAATTTTGAATACATTATTTTTACAGCTATGTCGTTATATAGTAGGCCTTATTTTAATAATAATTAATAGAAGAAATAGTGTAACGGACACCTATCTACCAGCCAGATAGATGGTGAACGCTCCCGGATTCTTTCTTGGGGTTATATGCAAATGACCTAAAGCCTAAATGAATGAACTCTAACTCAACAACTCACTAGGGCTCGATTTCGAGGTCTAGGGAAAACTAGTGAAACTATTGAAGTTAACAACTCATTCAATCTGCATACAACCTTTAATAAGTGAACAAAGTTGTGGCAGAACACTAGGTTAAACAAGATAAAATATTTAGTTTAGAAATAACAAAACCCAACTTACAAAGCGTAAGAATAAATACTATCACAGATTCTAACACTTTATAAAAATAGCCACAGGTCACATAACACTGCTATAGCATCAAGAATCACTTGGCCACAAGTAATATAATACTAGGATACTTAAACAACTTAATAATACATAGCACACTCAGGACTTAAGCTCTCTCACGTTCAACTGGCCAAAATGGACTGCCTGGTCAAAATGGACTGCCTGGTCAAAAATGGACTGCCTCGAGATACCTGTGGGCGATCTATTTATAGACTTGGGTAATAGGGAAGGTCCCCTTCAACTCATAAGACCATTGGTTGGTGTGGTCATCTGGTCTGAAACAATCAATCATCTCTCGATGGAATATTACTGAGTCTAAGACTCTCTTAGTAAGACAGCGGAAAAAAACCGGTGGTTGCACCACAAACCATATATGGTATTATAACAATGTCAAACTAAAAATAAAACATTACTAGACCTAAGTAGGTCACAATAGCCTATTAATTTGCTTAATACAAAACTATTAAAATGAGCTTCATGAGCACCCCTATTAAAACATTTAAAGAACAGAGGTAAGTCATGGATGTGGTTTGAAGGTATGCCTATCTTTGACACTACAGCTCATGTAGTTGCTTCTTTCTGCTTAACATTTTTAGCGCAATTACCTTACAGGAATTGCGATTATTAACTCGTCATTTCTGGATGGATGGATGGATGTGTGTCCGCAATGGATGGATGTGTGTCCGCAGCTTTAAGTCGTATCTCCTCCTCAACGAAGCAATATCGAGGACTAGTTCCAAAAGCAAATATGTTAAGCAATTTCCGAGGATGATTGTGGGCCAAAAAAAAATTCCCGGAATTCCTTCCTGGATTTCCCGGAAAAGCCGAAAAACCTCGAAAAAATGGTGTTTTTGGCCCATATCTCGGCAACCAGACCACTTAGCGACTTGAAACATTTACCAATCGATTCCTGCCATAATTTAGAACAATATTGCCGAAGAAAGTTTTCAAAAATATCCTTTCGTTCGGTCACAACAGTTTTTTTTAAATTACATTATACATAATACATTACAGTACTATATAGCAAAATCGGCAGTGGAAGGCGAAGGAGGACGAGGGTAAATCATATGACCTGGCTGGCTTAGCAGCGAGCCGCAAGCGAAGGAGGAGGAGCTAGTTTAAAAAGAAACTTGATCACTATCTATTTTTAGACTATTATTTGAACATAAGGAAATTGCGCTTAAATTGTCACTAGACTTTTTATTAACTTGTTTTTATAACAGTAGAACAATCACTGATGTAGTAGACATGTATTTAATACAAAACCGCTAGTCTATTAAGGTGTAAAAAAACATTAGTTTGTTATACATTTTTTAGCTGAGACCCCTAAATGGACTGCGGGGTCTGGCAGTATAGTAGTTCCACTCCTGATTTTGTTCAAACTTCATACCATTTTGTGACACATGTTCAAACTTGATACCATTTTGTGACACATGTTCAAACTTGATACCATTTTGTGACACATGTTCAAACTTGACACCATTTTGTGACACATGTTCAAACTTGACACCATTTTGTGACACATGTTCAAACTTGACACCATTTTGTGACACATGTTCAAACTTGATACCATTTTGTGACACATGTTCAAACTGGATACCATTTTGTGACACATGTTCAAACTTGATACCATTTTGTGACACATGTTCAAACTGGATACCATTTTGTGACACATGTTCAAACTTGATACCATTTTGTGACACATGTTCAAACTGGATACCATTTTGTGACACATGTTCAAACTTGATACCATTTTGTGACACATGTTCAAACTGGATACCATTTTGTGACACATGTTCAAACTTGATACCATTTTGTGACACATGTTCAAACTTGACACCATTTTGTGACACAGCTTTTGAACGCGTGAGACGACGTGACACAGCTGTTGACCGCGTGAGACGACATGACGCATCTGCCACAGGCCACGACTACACCAACGCCAACGTTGCTGAACAGGTGGAGACCCAGAACTACGGTAAATCTAGCCACCCCCACCCCGACATCCCCACCCCGACATCCCCACCCCGGCATTCCCTATCTTCAACTCTTCATTAAACCTGATTTTTGTATTTGGTTCAAACAGCAGGACTATATGCTATTTCTAGATGTCCAATTTGCCCCCCCCCCCCCCCCCCCACCCTTGTGTATTGTGTGAAAACCTTTAACCTACGGTAATTGTCCTGGTGCTGTTTGACCTTCCAGTTCTACCCGTGACCTACCCGTGACCTTGTGCCGCGAGAAAACACGAAGCACCAAACCACACACTACCGCCGTTCACCTCCCCTCAATATTTAAAAAAAAAATCAGGCAAAAAATGTGCTAGTGTATTCAACAGTTTCCCAAAGCTACATGGAGAGCGTAATGTGTAAATGACACAAAGAGTGTGTAGTAATGCTTACATCACAGACATACATTGATTTATATACACAGCGAGAGATGAATGGATGTTAGTTTTTTTTCCATCAGTTTTATGCGGAGATAATGGCTTCTAATTACAAATCTTTATAATATTTATTTTTATAAAAAGTATGAATAAAATATTCGCAATAGCAAAAAATCAAACGGCAAAAAGAAAAAATAACATAATAACGCAAAGGCAGAATAAATAAATTTGGAAAATTAAAGATATTTAAATAAATAGGTACAAACAAGACAAATTTCATAAAATATATTTAAAATATAAAAAAGTAAACGCTTATTACTTATTATTTGTGTTTGCGTTTATATTTGAATTTGTATTGTTTTGCATTTGTGTTTGCCTTTGTGTTTGCGTTTTTGTTTATGTTTATGTTTGTTTTTGTGTTTTGTTTTGGTTTTGGTTCTAGTTGGTTGTGGTTAGGTTTAAGTTTAGAATTAGATTTAGAATTATATTTGGTTTTCTCAAACGCCGATATTTGCATTCAGACATTTAATTGCAGTAGCCTATATCCTATACTTGGGCAATGAGGGGTGTCTCAATAAACGTCATGGTCCTTTACAGAGACCAGGGTCTGTCCGGCTAGTTTAACTATATCTATATAATAATTCTCTACTTGGAGACGCTAGAAAACAAGCTGTAAGCGCGCTCCCTGCCACCCCACCCCTATATGGTCTGGTGAGCTGTGGTTCACGCTAAATGTTTACAATTTTAGAGCCGGGTTTAGTGACGGCTATTAGGGGCAGATAATTTAGTTTGAAACGATTTTAAACTTAGGGGAGGTAACTAAGAGGAGGCTGCTTTCACGGGGGGGGGGGGGGGGGGGGTGTAGGGTAGAGGTTGGGGTTGGCGGAAAGGAGAGTGGGGATAGTATCGTTCTTAACGACTTACTGATAGTGTTTTAAAGCAAATATTTTCAGTGACAGCAGTGGTACTGTCGAATTCACAAATTATGAATTACTGAAAAGTAGAAAATAAAACAACTAAATAGCGACGTATGGTCGGCTCGTTTATATTGATGCACATTGTATGCTTAATACGTGTCAAATTTACACAAATTGATTTAGTAGAAGTATGTCAAATTTCGTTCGCAAGCTTCGACCCACGCTAAACGAAAGCCTGCTCAAAGTTTTCAACGAAATATTTCTAGCAAGTGAAGATTAATTAAAACCTCTGTTTGAATTTGCTTGCTTTTTCGGAAATATTATTTTAATATTGACTTACTTCACTGTCACAGCCCTTTTGTATGACTGGGTTCACGATATAAACTAAAAGGAAATACCAACCACATTACTGGAGATTTCACAATTTTATTAATATTAGATCTACATATTCAGAATGATATTCAGCAGCTACACTACTCAACAAACACGACTTTCAATTTCGTCATCTTTCTTGTTCTCCCGCCTTCTACCTCTCGCTTCCTTTCCTTTCGCGCATGCGCCCACACACACTATATTTTATATTTTATCTCGCCTTTTTAATACACACACTCGCAACATACATTCATATACATTTAACTGTTATATTCACATTTCATACAAACGACTTTATTAATAATTGCTTTTGCTCTCGTTTTAACATTTGCTTCAAGTTGGCAACAATACACCGCTACTAACTTGAACTTGAAATTGTTGTCTATCATGATGTTTTGTTGTATTTAAATGATTCATTGTTAATTTTTGCCTGATAACATATGCGTACTTTTATCTTTTAAAACAACATTCCCTAGTCAAATGTGTACTTTTATCTTTTAAAACAATATTCCCTAGTCAAATGTGTACTAGCTGTTGTAGATGTTCCAGTTGATGTGTACTTTTATCTTTTAAAACAATATTCCCTAGTCAAATGTGTACTAGCTGTTGTAGATGTTCCAGTTGATGTGTACTTTTATCTTTTAAAACAACATTCCCTAGTCAAATGTGTACTAGCTGTTGTAGATGTTCCAGTTGATGTGTACTTTTATCTTTTAAAACAATATTCCCTAGTCAAATGTGTACTAGCTGTTGTAGATGTTCCAGTTGATGTCGTTCTCTTGTCTTGACAGCCAATGACGTGAATGTCTTCAGTCAGGAGAGACTCACGTGTGGAGCATGCAGGAACGTGAGCACAAATTTCGCCTGCAAACAGTCTGGTCACGTGCTGTGTACATCTAATCAGGTGAGTGACGCAACGATCTTGTGGGTGACGTCACGGTCAAGTCGGTGACGTCACGGGCAGAAATAACGTGACCTATAGCTTTACTTTTTGTACCTAACTATATCCCAGCAGTATCCTTGCTACACTATCAAAGAGAAAATATCATAGCTGCCCTATGTGGTGATGTAATGTGTATGAAAGGTGAATACGTGGAACGGATCACTGAGTGTGTGTATGTAGCATGTAGTGAGACGTGAGACCGGGTGTGTTGACGTGTATGTTGTTGTACTGAGTGAACGAGGGTACAAGGGAAGCGACTGGTCGGGTGACAGTGGCTGTGTTGTGAGCGGGAGAAAGGTGGTGTGTAGGAATGAATGCGGAGGACAGTTGAAAGTTGGAGTGAAAGCAGACAGGTTGATGTGGGACTGGGTGGCGCGTTTTGAAGAGAAATAAAGGAGACTGTGATACCTAGCCTCAATCGTGTTGGTTGTGAATTCTTTGAGATCCTGACACCCTCACACCCTATTCCACAGTACCTGTCCTACACGATCAAAGAGAAAATATCATAGCTGCCCTATTGTACAAAACCCGCTCCCATCTCCTCTTGTTTGCAGACGATGTGCTACACGCAGCTGTCCTGGGACCAACAGGTCAAGGTCATGTCCATCTCTGGCGGGTGCCAGACGTTTGAGAGCTGCCTGGTGATGGAGGCCACAAATGCTGAGCACTGCAGCGTGGGTCACTCGCTCAACGTCCAGTGCCACTTTTGTTGTCGCGGTCCCACATGCTCAAGCGATACAATCGGAGGTAACTGCAGCACCACGTACATGAAGGATTCTCCTACCACACATACATGTTTCTTTTATCCTTACGTGTAGGTAACTACTAGCCATACTTGAAGGTAACCCCTACCCTCTCCCATGAAGGTAACTTGTTCCCTCTCCCATGAAGGTAACTTGTTCCCTCTCCCATGAAGGTAACTCCTACCCTCTCCCATGAAGGTAACTTCTTCCCTCAGGTAGGACCAGAGATGACGAGTTTCTTGTGACCTTCATCAAGCAAGACTCCCCGCTCCAGCCCGCCCTGACAGTCAAAGACTCGGACACTTTTCGTCTAGAGCAGGCCCGATATGCGGCAGCTGTAAGAATTTTTCTTTCTAAAACTTTTGGTTCATGCTAATGTTTCGGATTCGATTTCCAGATGAAATCAATGTCAACCCTCTCTGATTTGATTTCCAGATGAATTCAATGTCAACCCTCTCTGATTCGATTTCCAGATGAATTCAATGTCAAACTCTCTCTGATTCGATCCACAGGTGAAGTCTCTGTTGACCGACGTGAGTGGAGGACTGGACGTGTTTACACTGCGATACGAGTGAGTCACCACAGTGGAGGTTTTGTTTGATTTGTCCGCGAAACGTTAATCGACAGCATTGATACATGACAAGCTATCACGCTCTGGTTGACTAGCGAATCTTCACGTTTGTTTAAGCTAATAAGAACTGCAAATGCTTGACATCTTGTCTTTTATTATATGTCAGATGTGATCTAAAAAGTTTCAAGATTTTAAAAAAATCAAATTGGCGGTCGCTTAAGACATGTCAGATACTGGTTAGCGCTTTAAGTATTGTAAGTGTATGGATGGATGTCTACTTCCTGTTGCCGGTGTACGGTTAGAAATGTTTTATTTTGTGTATGAATTCCATGTAAAGGTGTTCCGCATTTTTAGTGCATAATTTTCTCTAGAGGTACTTTTATGTTTTACAATTACCAGACGAGACACTCATTTTTCTTCCTCAGCAATATTTCAACAAACAGTTATCGTGTAGTCCTTGAACTTCGAGTGACCTCTCTCAGCATTTTCTCCCGAGAAGACATTGAGCACGCCATACAGCTTGGCATCGCTTCCAACAGGAGCCTCGCTTTTTACAAGCAGGAAAATATCGACTCAAACTCAGTCTACTTGTCTAGTGCAGGTCAGTCCTGTTCTACAGTGTATATGTGTCTGACAAGTTCCCCACCGTGTCTGACAAGTTCCCCACCGTGTCTGACAAGTTCCCCACCGTGTCTGACAAGCTCCCCACCGTGTCTGACAAGTTCCCCACCGTGTCTGACAAGTTCCCCACCGTGTCTGACAAGTTCCCCACCGTGTCTGACAAGTTCCCCACCGTGTCTGACAAGTTCCCCACCGTGTCTGACAAGTTCCCCACCGTGTCTGACAAGTTCCCCACCGTGTCTGACAAGCTTGTAGTTTGTAGTTTCAGATCTGAAAACGTGCCCCCAGTCAACGAGCAGCTCCGGCCAGTGGTCGCTGCACTGGGAAGAGGCTATGGCTGGAGAGACCAAATACAATTCCGTGGGGGACAAAAACTGTTTCTCTAGGCATTGGTAGGCAGATCGGCTACACGAGTCACAGACACATCGTGCAACAGACACACTAGAACACACAGACACATATTTTCTATATATAGACACACCATACAACACACAGACACACCATATAACACAAGGATACACCGTATAGTACAAATACACACCATCAAAGACATATACACAACACCGCACAGACTTCACACCACACACACTTCGCACCACACCACACAAACCACACAGCCACATAACATCTCATTTGTGTTTATGACATCACTGTTCATTGAAGGCTTCTGACTTCACATGATATTTGTCATCACATGATATTTGTCATCACATGATATTTGTCATCACATGATATTTGTCATCACATGATATTTGACATAATATGACATTTGACATCACATGATATTTGTCATCACATGATATTTGTCATCACATGACATTTGACGTAATATGACATTTGACATCATGCGACAGTTGATACCCTCTGATATTTGATACAGCATGACCTTTGACGTTTGACCTTTGACCTCTTATTATATCTACAGTCTCCTGGTTGATGGAGTGACGAAATGGGGTCAAGTTGTTTCTGTTGAATGTCAGGTGATGTCAACAACTTCTCACACGTCAGCACCTGTCACATCAGTGTCACCAGTGGCTGTCACATCCCCACTTGACATGGCAACATCCCCACTTGACATGGCAACATCTGTCAAAAGTTTGTTGAAATTATTTTATCAATGTGAACTTGCTGATTGTACAAATGGCATACACATCTTGACCAACTGACTTTATCGACCAACTGCCCTAACTGACCAAATGCCCTAACTGACCAACTGACCAAACGTGCGTATTGACCTAATTGACCAACTGCCCTAATTGACCAACTAACCTAACGGACCTATTGACCTAATTGACCAACTGACCTAACGGACCTATTGACCTAATTGACTAACTGACCTGTCTATTGAAGGTCTTTCCATTGACCTCCTGAATGACATCACGGCCACAGAGAACTTCTCCCCGGCTGTTCTGCACGGCTTCATCCTGCGACTGGAGGAGCTGAGCACAGAGTCGAGTCTGGCAGTGGCTGACGTACCGGACACCGTCATGACCTGCATCTCTCGCTTGCTGGACATCAGCCACCAGCTGCTGCAGACGTCGGAGCGTGAGTTCTCCACCTCCCACAGGTAAATCATCACGTGACATGCACAGCACCGAAGCTTAAAGACCATCTCGTAGATAGAAAAGAGCAGTAGCATTTACAATGTTAGTGAAAACAAAATATAATAACATACCGGTTGTAGGTGGGCTATATGTCACAGATACATGTTAGAACGTAGCTGTCACAGATACATGTTAGAACGTAGCTGTCACAGATACATGTTAGAACGTAGCTGTCATAGATACATGTTAGAACGTAGCTGTCACAGATACATGTTAGAACGTAGCTGTCACAGATACATGTTAGAACGTAGCTGTCACAGATACATGTTAGAACGTAGCTGTCACAGGTACATGTTAGAACGTAGCTGTCACAGATACATGTTAGAACGTAGCTGTCACAGATACATGTTAGAACGTAGCTGTCACAGATACATGTTAGAACGTAGTTGTCACAGATACATGTTAGAACGTAGCTGTCACAGATACACGCAGCTGTCACAGATACATGTTAGAACGTAGCTGTCACAGATACATGTTAGAACGTAGCTGTCACAGATACATGTTAGAACGTAGCTGTCACAGGTACATGTTAGAACGTAGCTGTCGCAGATACATGTTAGAACGTAGCTGTCGCAGATACATGTTAGAACGTAGCTGTCACAGATACATGTTAGAACGTAGCTGTCACAGATACATGTTAGAACGTAGCTGTCACAGATACCTGTTAGAACGTAGCTGTCACAGATACATGTTAGAACGTAGCTGTCACAGATACACGTAGCTGTCACAGATACATGTTAGAACGTAGCTGTCACAGATACATGTTAGAACGTAGCTGTCACAGGTACATGTTAGAACGTAGCTGTCACAGATACATGTTAGAACGTAGCTGTCACAGATACATGTTAGAACGTAGCTGTCACAGATACATGTTAGAACGTAGCTGTCACAGATACACGTAGCTGTCACAGATACATGTTAGAACGTAGCTGTCACAGATACACGTAGCTGTCACAGATACATGTTAGAACGTAGCTGTCACAGATACCTGTTAGAACGTAGCTGTCACGGATACATGTTAGAACGTAGCTGTGACAGATACATGTTAGAACGTAGCTGTCACAGGTACATGTTAGAACGTAGCTGTCACAGATACACGTAGCTGTCACAGATACATGTTAGAACGTAGCTGTCACAGATACACGTAGCTGTCACAGATACCTGTTAGAACGTAGCTGTCACAGATACATGTTAGAACGTAGCTGTCACAGATACATGTTAGAACGTAGCTGTCACAGGTACATGTTAGAACGTAGCTGTCACAGATACACGTAGCTGTCACAGTTACATGTTAGAACGTAGCTGTCGCAGATACACGTAGCTGTCACAGATACATGTTAGAACGTAGCTGTCACAGATACATGTTAGAACGTAGCTGTCACAGGTACCTGTTAGAACGTAGCTGTCACAGATACACGTAGCTGTCACAGATACATTTTAGAACGTAGCTGTCACAGATACATGTTAGAACGTAGCTGTCACAGATACATGTTAGAACTTAGCTGTCACAAATACATGTTAGAACGTAGCTGTCACAGATACATGTTAGAACGTAGCTGTCGCAGATACATGTTAGAACGTAGCTGTCACAGATACATGTTAGAACGTAGTTGTCGCAGATACACGTAGCTGTCATAGATACATGTTAGAACGTAGCTGTCACAGATACATGTTAGAACGTAGCTGTCACAGGTACCTGTTAGAACGTAGCTGTCACAGATACATGTTAGAATGTAGCTGTCACAGATACATGTTAGAATGTAGCTGTCACAGATACATGTTAGAACGTAGCTGTCACAGATACATGTTAGAACGTAGTTGTCGCAGATACACGTAGCTGTCACAGATACATGTTAGAACGTAGCTGTCACAGATACATGTTAGAACGTAGCTGTCACAGATACACGTAGCTGTCACAGATACATGTTAGAACGTAGCTGTCACAGATACACGTAGCTGTCACAGATACATGTTAGAACGTAGCTGTCACAGATACCTGTTAGAACGTAGCTGTCACGGATACATGTTAGAACGTAGCTGTGACAGATACATGTTAGAACGTAGCTGTCACAGGTACATGTTAGAACGTAGCTGTCACAGATACACGTAGCTGTCACAGATACATGTTAGAACGTAGCTGTCACAGATACACGTAGCTGTCACAGATACCTGTTAGAACGTAGCTGTCACAGATACATGTTAGAACGTAGCTGTCACAGATACATGTTAGAACGTAGCTGTCACAGGTACATGTTAGAACGTAGCTGTCACAGATACACGTAGCTGTCACAGTTACATGTTAGAACGTAGCTGTCGCAGATACACGTAGCTGTCACAGATACATGTTAGAACGTAGCTGTCACAGATACATGTTAGAACGTAGCTGTCACAGGTACCTGTTAGAACGTAGCTGTCACAGATACACGTAGCTGTCACAGATACATTTTAGAACGTAGCTGTCACAGATACATGTTAGAACGTAGCTGTCACAGATACATGTTAGAACTTAGCTGTCACAAATACATGTTAGAACGTAGCTGTCACAGATACATGTTAGAACGTAGCTGTCGCAGATACATGTTAGAACGTAGCTGTCACAGATACATGTTAGAACGTAGCTGTCACAGATACATGTTAGAACGTAGTTGTCGCAGATACACGTAGCTGTCACAGATACATGTTAGAACGTAGCTGTCACAGATACATGTTAGAACGTAGCTGTCACAGATACACGTAGCTGTCACAGATACATGTTAGAACGTAGCTGTCACAGATACATGTTAGAACGTAGCTGTCACAGATACATGTTAGAACGTAGCTGTCACAGATACTTGTTAGACCATAGTTGTCACAGATACATGTTAGAACGTAGCTGTCACAGATACATGTTAGAACGTAGTTGTCACAGATACATGTTAGAACGTAGCTGTCACAGATACACGTAGCTGTCACAGATACATGTTAGAACGTAGCTGTCACAGATAATGTTATAACGTAGCTGTCACAGATACATGTTAGAACGTAGCTGTCACAGATACATGTTAGAACGTAGCTGTCACAGATACATGTTAGAACGTAGTTGTCACAGATACATGTTACAACGTAGCTGTCACAGATACATGTTAGAACGTAGCTGTCACAGATACACGTAGCTGTCACAGATACATGTTAGAACGTAGCTGTCACAGATACATGTTAGAACGTAGTTGTCACAGATACATGTTAGATACCCTTCACGTCAAGGACATTCGTGAGTCAACCGCCCAGATGTTAAGGGAGCCACTGGTTACACTACCGCACTGGTGCAACTCCTGGTTTAGTCATTGAATGTAGTGGCCCAACGTGTCAGTAGTGTAGAATGCCCTTTTTGAAACGAACTTAGGCGCCATAGTACTCGTGTATAGTCACTCGACCAACAGATAGCCGTTGACGAGCTACGGACACCAAATTAGACCCTGCCCTTCCGATATATCTAATTTACCCCCCCCCCCCCCCCCCCGAAACCTTCCCAGGAGAATTCTGAACAACTTCCTTAACTGTTATGGCGATCGGATGAAAGGTGTAATAATGTATACACATCGACAAAAATACATGAAGACAGAAAAGTTATATATATATATATATATATATATATATATATATATATATATATATATATATATATATATATATATATATATATATATATATATATATACTTTGACCTTGCAGGCTGCTTGCTGTGATTGAACACTTGCCAGAAAGAGCACCGTTGACTGCAGGCAGGCTGCACCTCGTCAAGTCAAACCTGGCTGTGGCAGGTATAGCCCTACACGCAGGTGAGACCAGGAATCTGCAAATGTCGCTTGGACAGTCAGGCTCCTGGGATGAACAGGTGAAACTCAGTTGCATTCCTCTCAGTTACCTCCCTCTCTATGTCTCATTGCCCTCGTTTGTATCAGTGTTTCTTCCAGACTTTTTTTCTCCGGGGGGGGGGGGGGGCACTTGAAATTTTCGGGGGGAGGGGGGGGGGAACGGTAGACTTTCTTCGGGGGGGGGGGGGGGCGGACATTGTTAAAAGTATATATTTTCTATATCAATTATATAAATTTCATTTCGTTCGGGGGGGGGCGGTAAAAATTTTTCGGGGGGCTTCGAAGAGATGCCTGGAAGAAACTCTGTTTTGTATCACATTGTATCTCCCCGCTTGTATATTTGCATACTTCCACCACGTATACTTCTGTGTAAGTCAAGATAGCGTTAGACTACTCTAATGACAGCCTGGTATCTGTGTAGGTCCAGATAGCGTTAGACTACTCTAATGACAGCCTGGTATCTGTGTAGGTCCAGATAGCGTTAGACTACTCTAATGACAGCCTGGTATCTGTGTAGGTCCAGATAGCGTTAGACTACTCTAATGACAGCCTGGTATCTGTGTAGGTCCAGATAGCGTTAGACTACTCTAATGACAGCCTGGTATCTGTGTAGGTCCAGATAGCGTTAGACTACTCTAATGACAGCCTGGTATCTGTGTAGGTCCAGATAGCGTTAGACTACTCTAATGACAGCCTGGTATCTGTGTAGGTCCAGATAGCGTTAGACTACTCTAATGACAGCCTGGTATCTGTGTAGGTCCAGATAGCGTTAGACTACTCTAATGACAGCCTGGTATCTGTGTAGGTCCAGATAGCGTTAGACTACTCTAATGACAGCCAGGTATCTGTGTAGGTCCAGATAGCGTTAGACTACTCTAATGACAGCCTGGTATCTGTGTAGGTCCAGATAGCGTTAGACTACTCTAATGACAGCCTGGTATCTGTGTAGGTCCAGATAGCGTTAGACTACTCTAATGACAGCCTGGTATCTGTGTAGGTCCAGATAGCGTTAGACTGCTCTAATGACAGCCTGGTATCTGTGTAGGTCCAGATAGCGTTAGACTACTCTAATGACAGCCTGGTATCTGTGTAGGTCCAGATAGCGTTAGACTACTCTAATGACAGCCAGCAGTGGACAGACCAGCAATCTTCTGTGGTCATCCCAACTGAGGCAGTGGTCAGCTCACTAAGCCCTGACCAGAAGGCCCAACTCTCACGAGTGACGTATGTTGTCCATCAGACAGACAAACTCTTCTCAGTAAGAATTCTATTTTCTCTTATTTGTTCTTTTTCTACCATTTTGAAAGGTGTGAAATTTGATAACGATCAGAATATTTTCTCAAAAAGTAACCAGTGTTTGCAAAACTCTGTTAACGTCATTTACAAATGTAAAAACTATCCAAAAACATTTACAAATGTAAAAACTATCCAAAGACATTTACAAATCTAAAAACTATCCAAAGACATTTACAAATGTAAAAACTATCCAAAGACATTTACAAATGTAAAAACTATCCAAAGACATTTACAAATGTAAAAACTATCCAAAGATATTTACAAATGTAAAAACTATCCAAAGACATTTACAAATGTAAAAACTATCCAAAGACATTTACAAAAGTAAAAACTATCCAAAGACATTTACAAATGTAAAAACTATCCAAAGACATTTACAAAAGTAAAAACTATCCAAAGACATTTACAAATGCAAAAACTATCCAAAGACATTATTTACAAATGTAAAAACTATCCAAAGACATTTACAAATGTAAAAACTATCCAAAAACATTTACAAATGTAAAAACTATCCAAAGACATTTACAAATGTAAAAACTATCCAAAGACATTTACAAATGTAAAAACTATCCAAAGACATTTACAAATGTAAAAACTATCCAAAGACATTTACAAATGTAAAAACTATCCAAAGACATTATTTACAAATGTAAAAACTATCCAAAGACATTATTTACAAATGTAAAAACTATCCAAAGACATTTACAAATATAAAAACTATCCAAAAACATTTACAAATGTAAAAACTATCCAAAGACATTTACAAATGTAAAAACTATCCAAAGACATTTACAAATGTAAAAACTATCCAAAGACATTTACAAATGTAAAAACTATCCAAAGACATTTACAAATGTAAAAACTATCCAAAGACATTTACAAATGTAAAAACTATCCGAAGACATTTACAAATGTAAAAACTATCCAAAGACATTTACAAAAGTAAAAACTATCCAAAGACATTTACAAATGTAAAAACTATCCAAAGACATTTACAAATGTAAAAACTATCCAAAGACATTTACAAATATAAAAACTATCCAAAGACATTTACAAATGTAAAAACTATCCAAAGACATTTACAAATGTAAAAACTATCCAAAGACATTTACAAATGTAAAACCAAACCAAAGACATTTACAAATGTAAAAACTATCCAAAGACATTTACAAAAGTAAAAACTATCCAAAGACATTTACAAATGTAAAAACTATCCAAAGACATTTACAAAAGTAAAAACTATCCAAAGACATTTACAAATGTAAAAACTATCCAAAGACATTTACAAAAGTAAAAACTATCCAAAGACATTTACAAATGTAAAAACTATCCAAAGACATTTACAAATGTAAAAACTATCCAAAGACATTTACAAATGTAAAGACTATCCAAAGACATTTACAAATATAAAAACTATCCAAAGACATTTACAAATGTAAAAACTATCCAAAGACATTTACAAATGTAAAAACTATCCAAAGACATTTACAAATGTAAAACCAAACCAAAGACATTTACAAATGTAAAAACTATCCAAAGACATTTACAAAAGTAAAAACTATCCAAAGACATTTACAAATGTAAAAACTATCCAAAGACATTTACAAAAGTAAAAACTATCCAAAGACATTTACAAATGTAAAAACTATCCAAAGACATTTACAAAAGTAAAAACTATCCAAAGACATTTACAAAAGTAAAAACTATCCAAATACATTTACAAATGTAAAAACTATCCAAAGACATTTACAAATGTAAAAACTATCCAAAGACGCTAGAGACAGCCATTGAGACGCCCAGCGAGTCTGGCAGCAACAGGACCATGGTCAACCTACAGGTCAACAGCTACGTCATCTCAGCCAGCATCCTGCACGTGCACATCTCAGATCTCCAGGAGACCGTCAACATCACCTTCAGACACGTACACACGGTGAGTACAGTTAGGCACACGTCGTTAGGCACACGTTGTTAGGCACACGTCATGTGGTTCATGTGTGTATGTAAAATCTCTTAATCTATCACGCATTATTTCTATCTCATCATCTAATTCTCTCATTACTTTTCCATGAGCTAGTCTGGGTTGTTCTGTTTCTTCGTCTCATGCTTCTTTTGCTTCTTCTATGTCTCTTTCAAGTCGATTGGTTGCCCAGGCTATCTGCTTCTTCATCGTCTTAATGCCTTGCGCCCTCGCTAGTGCTAGATATTCTTCAAAACTTGACATTTTGATCTGTTATATTTATGACATAAAATGTAAAGTCATATAATATTAGTTAAAAATATGTATGTGTTAATTAATTTAACAATGCCCTTTCTTGGTTTCTGGCTTGTCAGTTGATATCAGACATCTTATAATCCATGAAAAGTTCAAAGTACATATATACGTCCAAAAATAGTAACGTTCACTTTGTTAATAAATTCCAAATAGTTAAAGAATGTTTCAAAATAGTTCCAGTAGCCTTTTTCAGAGTAGAAATTTGTCCAGTTTTAGATAAGACAGCTTTAGTAACAGTTTAGGAACAGTTATAAATAATAAACTTGATCTGCTAATCCACAGTAGAAAAAACACTAATACTTGATCTGCTAATCCAGATAGAAAACACATTTGTAGGTGTAACAATAACCTGTTACAGACGATATATATATATATATATATATATATATATATATATATATATATATATATATATGAGCGAATAATAATCGGGATCCTCATGCTGCTGCCTACTCAGCCCCTGAACCCCCCACCCCTAATTAAGCAACTGTTTAAGGAAAAATCCGGTCTTTAATAATCTTAAGCTAATCCAAATGTGTAACTTATTCATTTAATTCTTTGACTTCGTAAAATCTTAAGCTAATCCAAAGGTGTAATTTATTCATTTAAATCTTTAACCTCGTAAAATCTTAAGCTAATCCAAAGGTGTAACTTATTCATTTAAATCTTTGACCTTGTAAAATCTTAAACTAATCTTAAGATGATCTTTGATCTTGTGAAATCTTTAACTAATCTTAAGATGATCTTTGATCTTGTGAAATCTTTAACTTACCAGAATGCGTCGCTTCCGCGGTGTGTTTACTGGAGACAGTCAACCAATGGGAGCCTCAGAAACTGGTCACGTGATGGCTGGTCACGTGACGGCTGTGACGTGTTACTGGCAACAGAGACAGTGACCACGTGTGGCTGTAACCACTTAACCAATTTCGCTCTTCTCATGGTACGACTTTTTTTTTTTACATTGGGGAGAAAACTCAGGCAAATCACGTGACGGTCTAGTGTATGAAACCTCAGGCAAATCACGTGACGGTCTAGTGTATGAAACCTCAGGCAAATCACGTGACGGTCTAGTGTATGTAACCTCAGGCAAATCACGTTTTAGACGGTCTAGTGTATGTAACCTCAGACAAATCACGTTTTAGACGGTCTAGTGTATGTGACCTCAGGCAAATCACGTTTTAGACGGTCTAGTGTATGGAACCTCAGGCAAATCACGTGACGGTCTAGTGTATGAAACCTCAGGCAAATCACGTGACGGTCTAGTGTATGTAACCTCAGGCAAATCACGTTTTAGACGGTCTAGTGTATGTAACCTCAGACAAATCACGTTTTAGACGGTCTAGTGTATGTGACCTCAGGCAAATCACGTTTTAGACGGTCTAGTGTATGTGACCTCAGGCAAATCACGTTTTAGACGGTCTAGTGTATGTGACCTCAGGCAAATCACGTTTTAGACGGTCTAGTGTATGAAACCTCAGGCAAATCACGTTTTAGACGGTCTAGTGTATGAAACCTCAGGCAAATCACGTTTTAGACGGTCTAGTGTATGTAACCTCAGGCAAATCACGTTTTAGACGGTCTAGTGTATGTGACCTCAGGCAAATCACGTGACGGTCTAGTGTATGTAACCTCAGGCAAATCACGTTTTAGACGGTCTAGTGTATGTGACCTCAGGCAAATCACGTTTTAGACGGTCTAGTGTATGTGATGTGCTCTAAAGGTCGGCTACTTGTCCAGAATGTTAGTGTAAGACATGATGGTCTAGTGTATGTGATGTGTTCTAAAGGTCAACTTAGTTACTTACTTACTTAATCCTCATCACTTCCTGTGGAGTATAGGGCAACAACAAATCTCCGCCATTCCACCCTGTCCTGGGCGAGCCACTTTAGTTCATGCAAGGTTTTGCCAGTAGCCTGTACTTCTTCTTCCATCTCCCTCCTCCATTTTCCCAGTGGTCTTCCTCTACTTCTCTTTCCGGGTCAACTACTTGTCCAGAATGTTAGTGTAAGACATGATGGTCTAGTGTATGTGATGTGCTCTAAAGGTCAACTACTTGCCCAGAATGTTAGTGTAAGACATGATGGTCTAGTGTATGTGATGTGCTCTAAAGGTCAACTACTTGTCTAGGATGTTAGGGTTAGGGTAAGACATGAAGGTCTAGTGTATGTGATGTGCTCTAAAGGTCAACTACTTGTCTAGGATGTTAAGGTAAGACATGATGGTCTAGTGTATGTGATGTGCTCTAAAGGTCAACTACTTGTCTAGGATGTTAGGGTAAGACATGATGGTCTAGTGTATGTGATGTGCTCTAAAGGTCAACTACTTGCCCAGAATGTTAGTGTAAGACATGATGGTCTAGTGTATGTGATGTGCTCTAAAGGTCAACTACTTGCCCAGAATGTTAGTGTAAGACATGATGGTCTAGTGTATGTGATGTGCTCTAAAGGTCAACTACTTGTCTAGGATGTTAGGGATAGGGTAAGACATGACGGTCTAGTGTATGTGATGTGCTCTAAAGGTCAACTACTTGTCCAGAATGTTAGTGTAAGACATGATGGTCTAGTGTATGTGATGTGCTCTAAAGGTCAACTACTTGTCTAGGATGTTAGGGTTAGTGTAAGACATGATGGTCTAGTGTATGTGATGTGCTCTAAAGGTCAACTACTTGCCCAGAATGTTAGTGTAAGACATGATGGTCTAGTGTATGTGATGTGCTCTAAAGGTCAACTACTTGTCTAGGATGTTAGGGTTAGGGTAAGACATGACGGTCTAGTGTATGTGATGTGCTCTAAAGGTCAACTACTTGTCTAGGATGTTAGGGTAAGACATGATGGTCTAGTGTATGTGATGTGCTCTAAAGGTCAGCTACTTGCCCAGAATGTTAGGGTAAGACATGATGGTCTAGTGTATGTGATGTGCTCTAAAGGTCAGCTACTTGTCTAGGATGTTAGGGTAAGACATGATGGTCTAGTGTATGTGATGTGCTCTAAAGATCAACTACTTGTCTAGGATGTTAGGGTAAGACATGATGGTCTAGTGTATGTGATGTGCTCTAAAGGTCAACTACTTGCCCAGAATGTTAGTGTAAGACATGATGGTCTAGTGTATGTGATGTGCTCTAAAGGTCAGCTACTTGTCTAGGATGTTAGGGTAAGACATGATGGTCTAGTGTATGTGATGTGCTCTAAAGGTCAGCTACTTGTCTAGGATGTTAGGGTAAGACATGATGGTCTAGTGTATGTGATGTGCTCTAAAGGTCAGCTACTTGTCTAGGATGTTAGGGTAAGACATGATGGTCTAGTGTATGTGATGTGCTCTAAAGATCAACTACTTGTCTAGGATGTTATGGTAAGACATGATGGTCTAGTGTATGTGATGTGCTCTAAAGGTCAGCTACTTGTCTAGGATGTTAGGGTAAGACATGATGGTCTAGTGTATGTGATGTGCTCTAAAGGTCAACTACTTGCCCAGAATGTTAGTGTAAGACATGATGGTCTAGTGTATGTGATGTGCTCTAAAGGTCAACTACTTGTCTAGGATGTTATGGTAAGACATGAAGGTCTAGTGTATGTGATGTGCTCTAAAGGTCAACTACTTGTCTAGGATGTTATGGTAAGACATGATGGTCTAGTGTATGTGATGTGCTCTAAAGGTCAACTACTTGTCTAGGATGTTAGGGTAAGACATGATGGTCTAGTGTATGTGATGTGCTCTAAAGATCAACTACTTGTCTAGGATGTTATGGTAAGACATGATGGTCTAGTGTATGTGATGTGCTCTAAAGGTCAGCTACTTGTCCAGAATGTTAGGGTTAGTGTAAGACATGATGGTCTAGTGCAGGGGTCTCCAAACTACGGCCCGCGGGCCGCATGCGGCCCGCGAAGTCCTCTCATCCGGCCCGCGGAGATCTTTTTGTCAAAAGAAAAATAGTTTGTTGGTGATAGATGAGGAACTTTGGCCAGAAAAACCAAAGACATACCTGGAAGAAACTGGCCCCCGAAATTAAATGTGATAGTTAATGCGGCCCTCGGATTGAAAAGTTTGGAGACCCCTGGTCTAGTGTATGTGATGTGCTCTAAAGGTCAACTACTTGTCTAGGATGTTAGGGTAAGACATGAAGGTCTAGTGTATGTGATGTGCTCTAAAGGTCAACTACTTGTCTAGGATGTTAGGGTAAGACATGATGGTCTAGTGTATGTGATGTGCTCTAAAGATCAACTACTTGTCTAGGATGTTAGGGTTAGTGTAAGACATGATGGTCTAGTGTATGTGATGTGCTCTAAAGGTCAACTACTTGTCTAGGATGTTAGGGTTAGGGTAAGACATGATGGTCTAGTGTATGTGATGTGCTCTAAAGGTCAACTACTTGTCTAGGATGTTAGGGTAAGACATGATGGTCTAGTGTATGTGATGTGCTCTAAAGGTCAACTACTTGTCTAGGATGTTAGGGTAAGACATGATGGTCTAGTGTATGTGATGTGCTCTAATGGTCAGCTACTTGTCTAGGATGTTAGGGTTAGTGTAAGACATGATGGTCTAGTGTATGTGATGTGCTCTAAAGGTCAACTACTTGTCTAGGATGTTAGGGTTAGTGTAAGACATGATGGTCTAGTGTATGTGATGTGCTCTAAAGGTCAACTACTTGTCTAGGATGTTAGGGTAAGACATGATGGTCTAGTGTATGTGATGTGCTCTAAAGGTCAACTACTTGTCTAGGATGTTAGGGTTAGGGTAAGACATGATGGTCTAGTGTATGTGATGTGCTCTAAAGGTCAACTACTTGTCTAGGATGTTAGGGTAAGACATGACGGTCTAGTGTATGTGATGTGCTCTAAAGGTCAACTACTTGTCTAGGATGTTATGGTAAGACATGATGGTCTAGTGTATGTGATGTGCTCTAAAGGTCAACTACTTGTCTAGGATGTTAGGGTAAGACATGATGGTCTAGTGTATGTGATGTGCTCTAAAGGTCAACTACTTGTCTAGGATGTTAGGGTAAGACATGATGGTCTAGTGTATGTGATGTGCTCTAAAGGTCAGCTACTTGTCTAGGATGTTAGGGTTAGTGTAAGACATGATGGTCTAGTGTATGTGATGTGCTCTAATGGTCAGCTACTTGTCTAGGATGTTAGGGATAGGGTAAGACATGATGGTCTAGTGTATGTGATGTGCTCTAAAGGTCAACTACTTGTCTAGGATGTTAGGGTAAGACATGACGGTCTAGTGTATGTGATGTGCTCTAAAGGTCAACTACTTGTCTAGGATGTCTACATGTCAGGCGACTCTGTGAGCAGCATGGATGGCACGGTGCTGTCCTACATATCGTACATTGGGTGTGGCCTCTCACTCGTGGCTCTCATCTTCACTCTGCTCACCTACACGATATTCAGGTGCGTGCTTCATGCTTCTCATCTATAGAGCTCTATATTCAGGTACATATTTGTCTTTGTCAATATGAGATTCTTTAGCAAATACATTTTATTTGTATGTTCGTGTTCAGCGTTTGCGAAAAATTGTGAATAGCTACCCAGCTTAAAGCGTTTTGATGTTTATCACAAGAAAACAAAATGTGTTCTTTTATTCTTTTAATTGTTAATTTTTTTCGTTACTACAAAATAAAATATAAAAAACCTACCATCAAACTCATTATAACCAGCAAGAGGAGTTACCCATATGATTGAATTGATAAATTGTGAAATGATAAGATTCATATATTTTTAAATAATTACATTTGATGGATTTTTAAATGATTGTGTTTAAGTAAACTAAGAGGAGACAATCCATCCAAGATACTTTTCAACCTGTGTCTGGCCTTGACCTTGTCAAACGGTTTGTTCCTGGTCGGCATGAGAGATTACACCTTTCACAACACACTTGCGTGCAAGGTGAGACAATTGGTATGAGAGATTACACCTTTCACAACACACTTGCGTGCAAGGTGAGACAATTGGCATGAGAGATTACACCTTTCACAACACACTTGCATGCAAGGTAAGACAATTGGTATGAGATATTACACCTTTAACAACACACTTGCATGCAAGGTGAGACAATTGGTATGAGAGATTACACCTTTCACAACACACTTGCGTGCAAGGTAAGACAATTGGCATGAGAGATTACACCTTTCACAACACGCTTGCATGCAAGGTAAGACAATTGGCATGAGAGATTACACCTTTCACAACACACTTGCATGCAAGGTAAGACAATTGGTATGAGAGATTACACCTTTCACAACACACTTGCGTGCAAGGTAAGACAATTGGTATGAGAGATTACACCTTTCACAACACGCTTGCATGCAAGGTGAGACAATTGGCATGAGAGATTACACCTTTCACAACACACTTGCGTGCAAGGTAAGACAATCGGCATGAGAGATTACACCTTTCACAACACACTTGCATGCAAGGTAAGACAATTGGTATGAGATTACACCTTTCACAACACACTTGCATGCAAGGTAAGACAATTGGTATGAGAGATTACACCTTTCACAACACACTAGCATGCAAGGTGAGACAATTGGTATGAGAGATTACACCTTTCACAACACACTAGCATGCAAGTTGAGACAATTGGCATGAGAGATTACACCTTTCACAACACACTTGCATACAAGGTGAGACAATTGGTATTAGAGATTACACCTTTCACAACACACTTGCATGCAAGGTAAGACAATTTGCATGAGAGATTACACCTTTCACAACACACTTGGGGAAAAACTGTTGGCTTTTTTAAAACCCTAAATTATAGAAAATAAACCAAAACTCAACCTAACGTATGACAATGCACCGTTGGGGATCTTCCATAAATGACTTTATTTCACCAATAGCTTGCTAGCGCCACCTCTCCTATTGTTATACATCGTCACAACACACACACACACACACACACAAAACACACACAAAACACAAAAACTCAGACACCTCCGAAAATGACTTCATCCAACTGCAAATTTTATCTTACGAAACAGAATTTTTAAAGTATTCACAATGGGTCAATAGGTAGAGTAGCTTGTTACAAATTATAAAAATATTTTTTTCTATTCCAATTTACTATTAAGTTCAATAAAAAGCAACAATTTAAATAATCAAAAATGGTGGCATCGTTGCTCCCCCCCTTCCCCCTTTATACTCACCCTTTGCCCTAGAGATCAACCCATCCCAAACTACTCCATCCTCTGTAGCGTAATGACATTTATGTACGACTTTTTAAAAACATTAAGAATATTAAAATAATTTTTTACCTACCACACTGCAAAGGTTTTGACAGGTTATTTAGTGTATTACCTTGTAAGTGAATTCTTCACGTATGTCATTGTTAAGTTTTTGACAGGTTGTGACAGGTTCCAATAGGTTGGGACAGGTTCTAATAGGTTGTGACAGGTTCTAATAGGTTGTGATAGGTTGGGACAGGTTGGGACAGGTTCTAATAGGTTGTGACAGGTTCTAATAGGTTGTGATAGGTTGTGACCGGTTGGGACAGGTTCTAATAGGTTGGGACATGTTGCGACAGGTTGGGACAGGTTGGGACAGGTTCTAATAGGTTGGGACAGGTTGCCACAGGTTGCGACAGGTTGCGACAGGTTCTGTATTGCCATGATTATTTCAGGTTGTGGCTGCCTCGCTCCATTATTTCCTCCTTGCCTCTCTGACGTGGATGGCTGTTGAAGCTTTCTACATGTACGTGGCCCTGATTCGTATCTTCAACACGTACTTCTCCCACTTTCTGCTCAAGTGCTGCCTCGTAGGATGGGGTAAGCGCTCATTTGATTTGTGTGGTTAGCAGAAGATTAACTGGTAGATTAGCAAATGTTTAACTGGTAGATTAGCAAATGGCCGAAATTGTTGGATGTTAAAACTGAGGCCACGGCTGATGTTAGTGAGTTATCCTCTACATGGACTGGGACAGACCGTTATTCTAAAGAAAGACATTAGTGTCACACATCGCTGGCACGGTCGACTCGCTATTGTCCTGAGGTGACTGTAGATGGCGGTCACGAATTAGCCCCCGACCTGACATGGGAGGTAAAATCGGGAAAACACGTAAAGAGATACCCTATTGTATGCGGACCGTTGAAGACGTTTTTTTTAGTGAGCAGGCGGGGGTGCCTGTAGTAAACAGTCAGTGACCTGATGATGGCTTGCAGAGGAGAAAGGGGGGGGGGAGAGCGGATGGGGACATGCTTCGGAAATCCAGAGTATTTATCCCTAAAATCATAATTTATACACTGTATGGGCATCTTTTGTGTAAGTAAGCTTATTCACCACGATACGTTTGATAGGCATCCATACAGTAATTATGTTCATATTCATTTTTTTTATTGTCAGGTCATCTTTAAATACATTTTACTTGTATTTTTTTTTATATTTTTGAAGGGAATTTATAAAGTAATTATGTCCATTTTCAGTTTGGTAAACTTTAACGGTATTCGTAAAGTGATTAAGCACATGTTAATTTTAATTAATTGTAGGGATATTCAGTATAATAGTTAAGGCCATAGTGATTCTTGTTTTAATATAGTGTAGGCATACTAAACAAATTATAAAGTCTATACTGTTTGATACATCGGACCGAGACTGTTTTATGGTAAAGTTCTCCTGATTTCTAAAACGTCTAAATTACCGGCAGTCCGAGCATGCCGTCGAGAAACTCATAAATAAGGTGAAGCTGGCTGTCACATGGTTCACTTTCTAATTATAGACACGAACCTTCTCTTGTGAGAACGCGGTCTTAACCTGTAATTTAATACGTGGACGCTCTATAAACACGCACCTTCTCTTGAATGGCTGCGGTCAGAGATCCAGTAACGTAGAACCCGAACTGATTTTTTTTATGGTTTGGCATCCCATAGATTTAAATGTACAGTTATCCTTTACCTCACCCCACCAACTGTCACCCACCCCAGTGTTCCACCCTACTGAGCGTCCATGATTACATTTGAGAGTCATTGATTTGGATATCTGTAGCTGTAAAAAGTGTGTTTTCATGATTCGAGCTGATTCCAAAATCTATTAATGTTTTGCTATTTTCCCCGGCATCCACACACTTTGAATGCCTTAACACTCGATAAATTGAGAAAATATCGATACTATCACCCGCCACTGTGGAACTATTTAACACCATGGCTTCAAGAGACAGAGATAGATTTCGCAAGTATGAATCAGGTGCATCAAAAGCGAGGAAACGCAATTTAAGAGAAGAATTTGATAAAACACAAGCAGGCGCTTTGGACAAGTACATACACTATCCAAAGAAAGTTAAACAACAAAAGCTTTTTGATTTGGTTGTGGATTTCAATGTCGCAAATGTGGAACGTAACAAAAAGGACTACAATGAGAGTACTACCATTTGTGGTGATGACGGTAATAATGAATCACCGAGTCATTTATGTCCCAAGACAGACTCTGCGGCCTGTCGATTCTGTCAATAGAAAAAGACATAGCCTCCAATTTGGACTATGATAATATAATCATGGAATTTTCCTCACGAAAGGCAAGAAAAGTAGATCTTTGTGAACGTACTGGTAAGATTTTCATAAATAAACATTAATGTAAAAAAATCAGGTTTGAAGCTGACGTTCATCGTCTCTTTAATGCGTGTCTCAAACTTATATCTGTTTTATTTTTTACTTTTCAAACAAAAAGCCTTAACAGAAACAAGCAACGTTTCAAAGCACTTCTAAGAAAACAAATTATTTGTTAATCAGTATCTTTATGTTAATACGACATTGATAAGCAGGTTTAAAAATACCATATATATCGTTATAAATATTAATGCGCGTTGAGAAGAAGAAAAAAAAATGCCTCACTGTACATGATTTAAACACCAATGGAAAAATATAAGGCCCCGCGCGGATGGTTGGCCATAAACCCCGCGTACCCCTAACGCCGGCTCTGGGTATTCCTTTAATAAACAGTGTATTCATCGGGTTAGGGTATTGCTTTAACAAACATTGTATTCCTTTAACAAACAGTGTATTCCTTTAACAAACAGTGTATTCCTTTGACTAGGCCTCCCGTTTGTTATTGTGGCGGCAACTTTAGGTGTCAACAAGACCGACAACTACGCTCTCATCGCCAGTGGAATGTGAGTGAACTTTAAGTGGTGGTTGTATGGTGGTTGTATGGTGGTTGTATGTTGGTTGTATGTTGGTTGTATGTTGGTTGTATGTTGATTGTATGTTGGTTGTATGTTGGTTGTATGTTGGTTGTATGTTGGTTGTATGTTGGTTGTATGTTGGTTGTATGTTGGTTGTATGTTGGTTGTATGGTGGTTGTATGGTGGTTGTATGTTGGTTGTATGTTGGTTGTATGTTGGTTGTATGTTGGTTGTATGTTGGTTGTATGTTTGTTGTATGGGGGTTGTATGGTGGTTGTATGTTGTTTGTATGTTGGTTGTATGTTGGTTGTATGTTGGTTGTATGTTGGTTGTATGTTGGTTGTATGTTTGTTGTATGTTTGTTGTATGGGGGTTGTATGGTTTTTGTATTGTGGTCGTATGGTGGTTCTATGTTGGTTGTATGGTCACATTAGACGTATGTAACATTTGTTTGATGTATGTAACATTTGTTTGATGTCTATAACATTTGATGTCTATAACATTTGTTTGATGCCTGTAACACTTGATGTCTATAACATTTGTTTGGTGTCTATAACATTTGATGTCTATAACATTTGTTTGATGTCTATAACATTTGTTTGATGTCTATAACATTTGTTTGATGTATGTAACATTTGTTTGATGTCTATAACATTAGTTTGATGTCTATAACATTTGTTTGATGTCTATAACATTTGTTTGATGCCTATAACATTTGTCTCATGCCTGTAACATTTGTTTGAACTCAGATGTTGGCTACGAACCGAAGCTTTCTATGGTGCTTTTGTCGGTCCTGTCTGTCTCATTCTTGTCATCAACTGTCTCGCGTTTTTGATGGTCCTGCATAAGCTGGCGACAATGTCAAAGGCAACTAGCAAGTTAAAGAGAACAGACAAAAACAGGTGACAAGTTTTTTTTTTAAACTTGTCGAGTCAAAACTTGGCACGTCTGTGTGTTTCTTTTCGTGTCAGAGTGTGTCTAAGTGTTCTGTAATTCTGGGTGTGTTTGTGTGTGTGTGTGTGTGTGTGTGTGTCTGCCTTATTGTTGATGTGCTCTGATGTTTGTGACATCAAATTGTGACATCAAATTGTGACATCAAATTGTACTATCAAATTTTGACATCAAATTGTGACATCAAATTGTGACATCAAATTTTGACATCAAATTATGACACCAAATTGTGACATCAAATTATGACACCAAGTTGTGACATCAAATTGTGACATCAAATTGTGACACCAAATTGTGACACCAAATTGTGACACCAAATTGTGACACCAAATTGTGACATGTTTTAGAACGGTGCAGCAGCTCCGTGCTGCCATTGGTGTGTTGATCCTGCTGGGTCTGACTTGGCTGTTCGCCATCTTTGCTGTTGGACAAGCTAGCACTGTGTTTCATTACTTGTTCGCCATTTTTAATTCATTTCAAGTAAGTTAAATTCCAATTTTCAAATTTTCAGCTAAGTTACATGGATACGTCCCCTTTATGTGTATCTAATGTTTTTTTCTTATAATTTTTTTTTCCTATTTGACCATCAGGGGCTGTTCATCTTCCTGTTTTATTGTATGTTTAAAAAAGAAGCTGTCAAAGCTTGGAAAAGTTGTTGCCCTTGTTTCAGCGATTACTATAGTCATTCTAGAACTTCGACAACAAGCAGAGGTAACTGGAACGGTGAGGGGGTGCCGGAGGGCGGGAAGGGGGGTTGGAAATAAGACGTATATATATATATATATATATATATATATATATATATATATATATATATATATATATATATATATATATATATATATACATAAATGGGGGTGCGGCAAATTAAAAGTTTGTCTCGGGCGCCAGAAGGAGTCGCTACGCCTCTGAAGATGAACTCAATCAATTCCTTCAGTTAACACTATTGGTTAATTCGCTCATTAAACTCATTTAGTGAGATAATTTAACTCAATAAATTCCTTCAGTTAACACTATTGGTTAATTCGCTCATTAAACTTATTTGTTGAGATAATTTAACTCAATCAATTCCTTCAATTAACTCTGTTAAAAATATGTTGTTCAGATTTGGCATTGAGCAGAAGAAAGTCGACCCGTCCATCGCTGTCTACTCTAGACACTTCCATATTTTCATCTTCAGTTAGACCAAAGCAAGGTGGGTACTGTCAAAGTACTTTAGTTAGACCAAAGCAAGGTGGGTACTGTCAAAGTACTTTAGTTAGACCAAAGCAAGGTGGGTACTGTCAAAGTAATTTAGTTAGACCAAAGCAAGGTGGGTACTGTCAAAGTACTTTAGTCTGCTGTCTGTAGTTTCATATTCTTATTTTAATGATAATGCTTTCTTTATGTATTAGAATGTTAGGCTATTTGATAAGTTGCTTTGAGTATTATCGAAAACAATTACCACAGAAGCACAGACCACAGATGTACTGACCACAGATATACAGACCACAGATGTACAGACCACAGAGACCACAGATGTACAGACCACAGAGACCACAGATGTACAGTCCACAGAGACCACAGATGTACAGACCACAGATGTACAGACCACAAATGTACATATCACACACAAGAGAGTTAGCTTTTCTTGAAACTTTTTAACATTCACGTACATTTTTACAAGCTTTTATTTAACTCACTTCCTCTGTCAGTCGCCAGTCGTAAGTCTAGATAGAAACGTAGGAGTGAAAATTCGGACAGTTCTACTTGACCGATACGATTCACACTTGGCACGTGGGTCAAGACATGAAGACAATGCAATCTGAAACTAAATTTGACTTAATTGGATGCCTAATTAATTTTTTTATGAATTAATTAAAATTTGGACCGAATCAATAGGCATGTCTATCCAACCACACCACACGCGTCATCACGTTCAATAGCTGCGCCATCACCTTCAGTAGGCGCGCCATCACGTTCAATAGACGCGCAATGGTTTTTAGTCATGTCACACTATTGTAAATAAAACATGTAAAGTACTGAAAAAAAAATTCATAAAAAACGTTTTAATAACAAGCTTTTATGTAATGATGCACTAAAAAGTAGAAAATAAATTATACACTACTATTTAAATTACTATAAAGAAAAGCGTGGGTCTCTTCTCAAATATTAGTAAAGGTATCCAATTGGTACTAAATTACTAAAGTGACCCACGCTTTTCTTTATAGCAATTTAAAAAGTAGTGTATAATTTATTTTCTACTTTTTAGTGCATTAGTACATAAAAGCTTGTTATTAAAACGTTTTTTTATGAATTTTTTTACAAGCTTTTATTTAACTCACTTCCTCTGCCGTCAGTCGACAGTCTGTCTAGATCGAAACGCAGGAGTGAAAATTCGGACAGTTCTACTTGACCGATACGATTTACATTTGACACGTGGGTCAAGACATGAAGACAATGCAATCTGAAATTAAATTTGACTTAATTGGATGCCTAATTAATTTTTTTATGAATTAATTAAAATTTGGACCGAATCAATAGGCATGTCTATCCAACCACACCACACGCATCATCACGTTCAATAGCTGCGCCATCACCTTCAGTAGGCGCGCCATCACGTTCAATAGACGCGCAATGGTTTTTAGTCATGTCACACTATTGTAAATAAAACATGTAAATTACTGAAAAAAAAATTCATAAAAAAACGTTTTAATAACAAGCTTTTATGTAATAATGCACTAAAAAGTAGAAAATAAATTATCGATTACTATTTAAATAACTATAAAGAAAAGCGTGGGTGTCTTCCTTAACATTAGTAAAGGTATCCAACAGATACTAAAGTGACCCACTCTTTTCTTTATAGTTATAATAAACATTAGGGTTGGACTTAAGGTTGGAGTTTTTCCCAGAATGTTTTTTAAATCACTATAGAAGGTGACGTTATGAATATGTCATTTATTAAGTCCAGAAATACTTCATCAATTGCATGCAAGTAACCTTTATTTAACCTAATTGAGAGATAATTTTAATCAGTGAAAATAAAACAAATTACACGAATCCTTTCTAGACAAATCTAACCTGCTTAACTTTGAGCTCTAAACTACTTTAAACAGCACTCTACCAGAATAAAAATTAAGAGTAGACCTACTAAGTTATTTGAATTTATAAACTTGCTTTAATCAAATCTAGATAAGCTCCCACCGCTTCCAACCCCTCCCTGTACGTTGAACTACAGCCCAATCTACCGACGGACTGAATAGATGGATTCACGAGATTCAAAACGTTATTTCAAGCACATTTTTTCCTTTCTCAAACTTGAATGTTTTCTTATTTAGAATTCAATCATGTGGTGTTTTTAAAGGTAGATAATTTGATTTTCTCGATAGTACTTCTTGATTAGAGGATGAGTAAAACATCCCAACTTTAACATTTTCGAACACACAAATACCTGGTAATGTGGAAAATAGATCAAAAGAACATAAATAAAATTGTCATTGATGAAATTGGTTTAAACTAGGTTGTAAAAATATATGATAATTTATCTATACATACATATATATATATGTTATATATATATATATATATATATATATATATATATATATATATATATATATATATATATATATATATATATATATATATATATATATATTTATTTATTTATATTTATATTTATATATATATACATTTTTATACATTGTTACATACCTGTTTAAATCATCTGATTTCTAGAGCTTAGTGGCCTACATTTTAAAAATAGGGAGGACAACGTCTACGTAACAACTGAGCGGTTTTAAAAATAATAATTTCATGGTTAATTCCCTTAGATTACAATTTCGAACATTTTAGCCTTTTTACTTTCTCGTATATACGATGTATAGAGAAAGTATTGTAATCGTGCAAAAAAAATCGAGATTTTTACAGATCTCGACGTTTTACACCTCACTGATACGGAAAAACATAATTTTGCAATCTTGTCCGTATGTCTGTGTGTCTGTCTGTCTGTCTGTTTGTGTGTAAACACGATTACTTGAGTACCGTTACAGCTAGGTTGATGAAATTTCATATATAAGTATTTTATCAAAATCGTAGATCCGTATCAACTTTTGAGCGATATCCGATAACCGGAAGTGGTACTTTTCCTACTTTGAACTTTTCAAAAGCCTATAACTTGAGTACTATTTCATATAGATAAATAAAAATTCACAAGTAAGTAAAAAATCTAATTCTCTACCGTCTATCAAATTTTGAGTAATTTCCGTTGACCGGAAGTACTAATTTACGCTATTTCCGATTCCTCAAAAAACGCATGTAAATTTATAAAGTACTAATAATATTGCGCACTATTATGCACATTTTGTTTTGGCGTTCGCTTGATGCGCAATTCTTTTTTCTATGAGATTCTATTCTATTTTTAAAAGTTTAAGTAATTAAAAATCATGTCTAAATTCCAAGTTATATAAGAATACTAGCCGTCCCGGCATCACTGGCATCTCTGAAAAACGTATCTGTAAAGGACCATAACTTGTGTGTTTAGTAATCAGCATTTATCAGGCATTGCCCACCCTAACCACAACCAACCAAAACACACAAAAAACGCAAACATAACACTAACACAAAACAAACACAAACGAAAACACAAAAACAAACGCAAAGACAAACCCAACCACAAACACAAAGAAAACACAAACACTAACGCAAACAAAAAAGCAAGCGAAAACAAATCCAAACGCAAACACAAACCCAACCACAACCAAACAAAACCAAAACACACCACAAAAAAAAACAACGCAAACATAACACAAACGCAAATACAAACACAAACGAAAACAAACACAATCACAAACACAAAGAAAACACAACGCAAAGAAAAAAAGCAAACGAAAACAAACCCAAATCCAAACGCAAACACAACTACAAACGCAAACCCAAACTCAAAGAAAACACAAACGCAAAGATAAACTCAAAGTGTCCACAGTCTAGCCCGGGGCGCCAAATCGCACCATGACGGCGTGCGGCGTAACCGCCTGATTCAACTTAATAAACAACTATAGTACCCAACTTATTCATAGTCTTTTTAACTCACTTACGCGAACGTAGGTACCATAGCGTACACGGGAAGGCCCAGGGCGCCAAATAGCACCCTGTCGGAGTGCCGGAGGACGCCCGGATTTGATTCACTTAAAGACTACAGTAACCTTTCTTATCCATAGTCTATCGCACTGTTTAAAACAAAATTATGCAGCATAGCGCTCACATGATAGCCCAGGGCGCCAAATCGAATCTCGCAGGGGCGCCGGCGGACGCGCCTGTTTCAATTTAGTGAACAAAATGATAATACTCCAAGCTTTTCCGTAAATGGAAAGAAATAAACATATAGGATTTGTAGGACCTGGCTTGTTAAATGTTATTGATTTAAAAAAATAATTAGTGAACAGTATGTTCAGTGTATAGAATAAATAAAAGGCAGTATTAAAAATACCAACGACATTGCACCTAATCGATCCCCGCTAATTATGTAATTATTTTTTTTCTTAACACCAAAACAAAGTAATAAAAAGTAAATTCTTTCTTCCCCCGATTTTAAATGATTTTTTAAAGGGAAGTAACTGTGTAGTCAATAAATTTCAGACACAATTTTAGAAATTTTATAAACGTTGATACACTTTTTAAAAATGTTATGCAATGTTCATAATTGAAAATTATTATTCTAACTATATAAAATAAAAATTGTTTTTAAAGACTTTCAATAGTAATTTTTTAACTCAAAATTTAGACCATGAGCACTATAATAATCTAACACTTATTGTGGTTAACAAAAAGGATATTTGCCCTCTACTCAAAAGGCGCCCTCCAACCATAAAGCGCCTTCCACCCAAAGTGCGCCTTCCACCCAAAGTGCGCCTTCCACCCAAAGTGCGCCCACATAAACTGCCCTTCCTTTTGATCATTTACAATGTGTTGTTCCCCCCCCCCCCCCACGTGACTGTAAAAATCTGTGATGTCTGCACCAGCCCCTTAGGATCTAAATTGTTTGAAACGTGAGTTATAGTGTGAATCTGATGGTAAACCTGATGGTAACTCTGGACTTTGTATCGTGTACTAGTCATGGAATACCAGTCGGGACACATAATCTAATGTAGCCAATTGTACAACTCAGTCCCGCTTCTAATGGAGCCATTTTCATCAATTCGACTCCGAAAACAACGCTAAAATCCGACCAAATTTTTTCACTTTCCCCTTGACAGACTGAGGTATGACGTCATTTTAGGGGGGGTGTATCCGGCTTTTTGTGACGATGTGTGACGGAGGGGAGGGGGATGTGAAAATCGTCAAAGAAGCGTGACGTCATTTATCGGTGACCCGATATGTAGAAGATAACATTTTGAATTGCTCTATTTTTGTATGGTTTACAGTCAGACATGACGTAGTAAATGGACTGGAGTCAGTCTCGACGCAGTACTTAAACTTGAGTCAGTCCTGACGCAGTATTTACTTTAGAGGCATGCATGAAGCAGTAATTACTTCAGAGTCATGCATAACGCAGTATGAGTCAGTCCTGACGCAGTATTTCCTTGAAAGTCTGTGCTTACAAACTAAGTAGTTCCTGTACTTGTAACTTACTGGTATATTTTAAAGCAGCACAAGAAATGGGTTAGTAGGTCAAAATGGTGGGCGGAGAAATAGGTCAAATAGAGAACACGAAGATGATGGAGGGGTGGGAGAGGGGTGGGAATTAAGAAGGAGATGGTAAATGGGGATGTAGGACCTGTTGTCAGTTACCATCGAACAATACACACACCCCTTTTTTTACACCACAGATGTATACCCCCCCCCCTTTTTACTGGTTTAACCCCCCCCCCCCCACTTGACGTGTGACGTAGCCTAAATTGTGTAGACAAGGAATAAAACAAAGTGTTGGATCAAATATTTCAGCCATCAACTACTTGTGCTATCCCTTCCCAAACATGTATTATTACATTTTAAAACGAAAGGGATAAGGTAAATGGTAAATGATGCTAAAGGATGTGAAATCACGCGGCTAATCGAAAGGTAACAGGGAGGGATGGGAGGTAAATAGTTCCTGGTGAGCTAGAC